AAGCCTGGCTTTCAACTCAAGTTGGCAACTCAGCTATGTGCTCTTTAACCTTTTAATGACTTGGAGTCCTACTGAATAATCAGAGTAAAACAAATGGAATCTAAATGTATGCATAAAGCTGCAGTTGTGCTTAGAGGGATGAGCTGTGTGTTTAACATTAAGCACCCAATTCATTGCTTTATTAGGATGGTTAAATGTAATGGCACCTATTACCCTTGTGCCATGAAAGAAACAGCATCATGAAAATGGCACAAAAAATTGAATTGGTATCAATACAATAAGTCTTTATCTGCAAAAAGAGAGCTTGCGTGCCTAAATGTTTGAAAACAGCTGCTTCTGCCAGCTTTCCAGCATTGTCTAATGCTGGAAGCACCTGAATTTCCATTTTGCTTTGCAGAGTTGCCTGTGTTGAAGCTCAGATCCACTGGAAGCCTCTACCAGTTGCAGACTGGTTCCTGCACTTCAGTTTGGACCTGAGATGGAGGTTGCTTCACCTTCAGCTAGTTCAGGAGGCTTAGGAGTCAGGTGACTTCCTCAGATCCTCCTGATTGCAGTTGTATGTGTGGCACAAAGTATAGCAGGCAGGATACAAAGTCTGAGAGCTGAGAGGGGTGGACTAGTGTTTAGGTTTATTGGACACGGATACGGCTCAGCCACACCACGCAGTCTGGGGAGATGTGTCATAAATACAGCTTCTTCTTCACCTTTTTAAAAAATTAATTCAAAGTCAATTTAATCTAAAAAAATAAGAAATACACATGATGAATCACTAGCATTCTTTTCTACACTCACTTTGTCCAGTCATACAGACTTAACAGGAAGAATTCCTATATTGATGTTTGTTGGAGCTTTACAGGCTGGGGAGGCCACAAACTTCTTGTAGCCTGGTGCTCCAAGGACATAGTACTGGTTGGACAGTACCCAGTACTAACCATAGAGTGCAGGTATTTCTTCTGTTCCTTGGAGTCTTAAAGAGGAAAGGACTACATGGCACATATCAGACTTATTTTATATTAGTTAGCTGCTGCTGCTTAGAGCAGCTTGAACTCAGTGTTTCTCTTTTCAAGATATTTAGTTTCCTAGCTTATGCTATTTGTCACATTCTCCACACAAATACACAACAATTCTTCTCTTTAGAATAATTCTTCTCATATTAGCTCCTCCCAGGGAGTGCACTGGCATTGCCTATGAGAGGTTAAACTTCTAGTGCTATTTTACTAGTGTAAGAATTGTAGAGGCTTGATGTTTGGATGTCTAACCTTGGAGTTTGAGCTCTGGCCTTAGAGATGTGATCTTAGAAACTGAACAATTGTCCTCCTTGACTCCAAACATGAAGTATTTCATACCCAGCTGAAGAGACCTTGTCTCCTTCCCTGTCTTTCTTTGACTCTGCCTACTCTTCCTAGCTGCTTCTTGGACCCACTTCTAGCTACCCACATAGGAAGTGGCAAACCCTGTTATGTATTCTGAAACCTAGGGAAATGATCTATTTCAGTATCCTCTTGTCCTTTAAACAGAACTCCTAACTCAAGAACATGAAATGAAAATTTCTGCGCCAAACCCCTCCATTAAAATAGGAAGGCCTCTATTGAGAAGTAATAAGAAAGAAAATGAGTTACTTAAGGTTATTGTACATTTGACTGTCTGGAAGAAGTCCCTCTCTGTTACAATGCATGCCCACTTTTTCCAGCTGTGTCTGCTGGTCTAATGTGTGATACTACAAAATTTGTTGAAGGCTTGGTTCCTAATGCTCAGTGTTTAAAATCAAATACTATTTGTTCCTGGGTTGTTGTCATGTTTCTTTTAAATGTGTGACTGACGATCAGGCCTTCAAACATGACCTCTTCCAGCACTGCATTTCAACCCAGTTTTCATTTAATGTGTAAGCACACATGCTGAATTAAAGGCTTCTTACTGCAAGTAGTTTTGGTGGCAGATATACTTGAATTTTCAAGGGACTACACAAAGCTTGTTGTGATATGCAAATCTAGAATTAGCCCTGGAATTACCAAGTGCCTTGAGATGCACAAATGTGGGAAAGAAGTGTTTTTCTCTGTCAGAACAACTTCTCTGTAGAGGGTATTTGTGAGGTGTGTTGACTTCCTCATTTCTACACAAATGGATTATGAATCCCTATGTTTGGGAATTACTGATGAGGTGGAATTAACCCTCACATTTTCAAGTTGTTGTGGTTCCTGCCCTATGGTGTTGCACTCCCAGATACACTCCATCTGTGCTGGCTGATTGTGCCTGTGCAGTTTCTTTCCCACTAGGAACACTTACCTGTGGCACCCTCTCCCTTACTCTTGTGCCAAGTACTGTGTCACAGCTGCATGATGAGATTGTCTCAGGGCTGTAATCTGAAATAAGATCCAAAGACACGGGTGTACTATTTTGTTTGAAAAGAGAATGATGAACAGTTTGTATGTGGAGATCTGAATTCCGACTGGTTTATGTCAGGGTCTGTGGATCTTCCCCCAACACCTTTTTTCCAATGCAGGAAATTATATTCATGCTTGTTGAGTGTATTCCCTTGTCTTTACACAGACATCTGTTGAACAACACTAGAAGCATAAACTATATTTTTGTTTTCTCAGAGCTGGAGTCACTCACTCCCTCCAAAGCTTATTTCCTTGCTGTTCAGAGTTCTGAAAAACATAGAGTAGATAAAATCAAGTACTGATAAAAATCAAGAACATAAATTCACACTGAAAATGTTTCTAATTCCTCAACCTTAGGAATTACGGTGGACTAAAGGACAGATAAAATTTATTAGAATAGAAGAAATTCTCCTGGAAGGCAGCACCAGGAGTGGTGATATTGTGCAACAAAAAGCAAGGGGTCTCACTTCTCTCCACTCAAACTGCAATAAGCTTCTGCCAACAGAAGCTTTTAAAGTGTTCTTCTGTTGATATTCATGCAAAAAGACTCAAAGACTCTTGTCCCAGATAAATTATTATTAAACATATGTTGAATTTAAACTATTCTTCCAATGGGAATCATGTTGACTGTTCATATATAAACCCATTTTGAAATAAATTATCAAAAGGACCATACTCTCGGTCTTAAAATTTACCTTACAGTGTTAAAGACATATATGAGATCCAGCAATGGGAACCAAAAAGACTGATTCAGAGTGTTAGCAGAAACCTGAATAGTGTTGATCTTAGAAAATTTCATGTATGCTCAGTAGAGGGTTTACAGCAATTTAGACAAATATATAAGCCATCAGTAAGGCTGCCTTGGAGGGAGTGTAGTTGAATTTAACACTGTGTGGAGGACACTTGATCAGTAACAATAATCACTTCCAGGGGAGCTCTGTGACAATTCTAATGTGCTGCCTAGTGGTAAAGGTGAAGTCTCTAGCCTGATCTTTTCTGAGGCCTAGCACTGGCTGGGTCTCTAAAAAATTATTCAGCATTATATGAATCAGTAATTTACTTTAACACATTTATATATTCAGGGATGTGAGAAGAGTCACAACGATCTATTGATACAGAGAGGTGTAACTTTTAAGAAACATCAATGCTTTTTGTTTGATAACCTTAGTAAAAATTTATTTAAGAAAAATCTCTGATTTAATTCCTACAATAGACAGCATGCCAGGGACAGACTATGTATCACTACACATGGGACATGCTTTGATTCTGATATTTCAGGGGACAGACTCTCCATACACCTGTCATAAAGCCAGAGAGCTTCAAGAAAATTCTTTCAAATGACATGAAAAAGCAAGTTTGCTACAAGGTCATACATCCTCCCTTTTGAGAAAAAGAAACAAAGAAATAACTCTGCAGAGCATGTTAATGGCTAATGCTGTTATCCCTCTGCGTTAGCACTTTGTCTTAAAAACTTCCGTCCAGTAGGTCTGCCTGTCTTCCAGCATATGTACACGGCTAAGTACATTCATGGCTCCTGCTGGAAACAGATGGAGCTGTTTGGAAAGCCTATACACGTGCAGGCACTAGAAAGTAAAAGACCTCACCTCACTGAAAAGCAAGAAACACTAGGGACAAATGCTCCTCTTCAAAGAGGCAAACAACATTCATCCTCCACTATGTTATACTATTTGCATAGTAAGTCACGGATAATAGACAACACCTGTCTCCCTTTCCATGTCGAGATCATTGTGAAATGCAACTTCGCTAATCAAAGCCTAAAACTTTAAACAAAGCTGATGCCTTTGAGTAAAATCTATGCAGAATCCAGAGATGGACGTCGGTAATAAAATCTCTTCATTTCCAAGTCCCTCGCTCCCCGTCACCCTGCGTTTCAAAGCGCCGTGGTTTCACCTGGGTAAAATTCTGGAAGACGGGTTTCCGGAGGCGATCCCGCGTTCTCGCCCGACGTGGTGGACAGCCCTCCGGTTTGCCGGAGAGCGCCTCTCGGGGGCTGCTTGCGGAGGGCAGCGGCGGGGGGAGAGGCTCCCCTCGCCCCTCCCGCTCCCCTCGTCGTCTCCATCGCGCTCAGGGGCTGGGACCCCGCGGGACGGCGTCGGCTCCGGGATCCGCCTCTCCATTTCGCGCAAGATCCACCTCGGTGGCTCGGGGCTGGGGCGAGGGCACGGGCGCCTGCAGGGCGAGAGGCGGGGCGGCCCCTCCCGGCACCAGGTATAAACCGGGACTGCGGAGTAAGGACGGGGCTTGCTCTGCGCCTCACCCCCGCCTCCGGTGCCGCCTCCCGCGTCCGCGGGCCGAGCAGCACCGGCGCCGCTGGACAGCGCTGGCGGCCCCGGGGCCGCTGCGGGCTCGGGAAGGAGGCGGAGGGACCGAGCCTGCGAGGGCGCTCCCGGGGAAGAGGGCAGGCAGCCGCTGTCCTGACGGAGTTCGCTGCCCGCTAGGCTGAGGATCTCTTGCTCACCTGCCCACCGGGACAAGCTTGTGCGAAGAGCTGAGGGGCAGAGCATGGGAATTTTTGTTTCCCTCCTCCACCGCTGCGCCGTTGGACATTCTTCTGCATTTCTGAAACGAGAGAACTCGTCAAAGAAGGAGGTTGAAGAAAGGCAGTAGGGAAGGGGGGAGAAAGTTGGTTGACTTGCAGAAAAGTAAAGCTTTCCAGTGGCTCCTACTGCACTTTGCACTAGAGACCCTCAGTCCACCCGAAGCTGGAGGATGGAGCCAGAGCTCTCGCCTGAGCTCGCAAGAATGCCCCTTGGGGAAAATGGGAGTGCCCACTTGGTGCCCGACACAGCCCTGCTACCCCCAGGGAAGAGTACGGCCATGTTCATCATCCGCTGTGTGATCCCGTCGCTTTACCTGCTCATCATCACTGTCGGCTTGCTGGGCAACATCACCCTCATGAAGATCTTCATTTCCAACAGTGCCATGAGAAGTGTGCCCAACATCTTCATCTCCAGCCTTGCTGCTGGTGATCTGCTGCTGCTAGTGACCTGTGTCCCCGTGGATGCCTCTCGGTATTTCTCTGAGGAGTGGCTCTTTGGGGAGCTGGGCTGCAAGCTCATTCCTGTCATCCAGCTCACCTCTGTTGGTGTCTCTGTCTTCACTCTTACTGCCCTCAGTGCTGACAGGTAGGAAAGCTGGGCTGACAATTCTCAGCTCTCTGCAGCTTGGGCTGAGGCTGGCCGGAGCTAGCATGAAAGATAAAGTGCTCCTCTGGATAAGGTGTCCCTGGTTTGCAGTCCCCTTATTCCATCTTGTGAGGTGGCCGTGCTTCTCCTTCCCTCACTAATGATGGCAAGTCCGGTATTAACTGAAGTTATAAGGTGTCTGGAAATGGGTGTGCCTGGGCCTTCAGCTCCCAGGGTGTTAGCTACAAGGACTGGGTTTAGTCCTGTCTTCTGCACTTCTGGGATGGTCCTGTAACAGCCCTTATACTGAGATCTTATTCATTTAAGGAAGGTTTTAGATGCCAGATGCCTTGACAAGTTACAGTGTTATGCTCACAGGCAGTGAGAAATTTAAACCAAGTGAAACACAGAGGTACTTTTAATCCATTTGTTTCTTTCTGCTGAGAAAGTGTATGTGTGTGTGTGTGTGTGTATGTGTATCTGTGCCTTAGTAGAAGAGCAGGTTACCAGAGGTGACTGCCAGAACTAGGTTAGCTTCTGGGAATTCAGAGGCACCAAACTGTTCTGTTGTAACTGTCAGTCTTAAACTTTTGTTTAAACTATTCTTTTTGTCTTCTGAACTTTTAGAAAATGGGAAAAAAAAGAGATAATACTCCAAAACAAATAGGAAGTAACACTTTCATCTCCACTACTTGTCAAATTAGGAAGAAACAAAGAGCTAGATCCCAAATTTTCCCTCCCAATTACTGTGAATGGGTACTTAAGGAATTTATAACAACTGAGTGGCTGTTGGAGTGTGCTTCAGGCTCTGAAAGATAAAATCTTGCAGTGTAATTGCAACCTTAAATTAAATGAAATTATCTTTCTTCTGTTATCTAAGCAGGGTTTTTGAAACCAGAAATTAAAATGTTTAATTCCTTCTCCATAGAAATTATCCCTTTTTATTTTGTTGGGTTTTAAACTGAGCCACTGCATGATATTCGTGCATGATGTGAAGTCTTGAGTTTAGTAATATATCTTCACAATTACAGTAATGTTTCTTCAAAAATTGTAATCCTCTTTTTTATTAGGGTCTTTAATTTTTTTTTTTTTTTGCTAATTCAGTAAATTGTTCGATTACATGGGAGGATAGTCTTCAGCAGACATCGATTTCAGTTGTGTTTGAATCAGGACCTAACATACTTGTCTAAAAAGACTTCATAACTTATGAAAATTTTTTATATTTTTTAATAAGAGCTTGCAAAACATACCTTAAAGTGAACACCTGTAACTCTCTGATTAACTCAGTTAAAGAGCATGCCCAAATCTGTCCTTAAAGAGCCAAGGAAGCCCTGCAGTTCTCTTTCTGCTCTATTTTGACTGCTTAAAATTATGATTGTGGTATCTTAGTTGAAAAGGGAAGAAGTTACTTGTAGTGGAGATCATCTTTCAGGGAAACATAATGTAAGAGAATGCCAGTGACTTAAGGATTCATTCATTTGCATTTTATATGCATTTGGAGCACTCATTATTTGATTTTTCCATATAATTTTATATCCTTACTTTAATATCAGTAAAGATTCAAGAAGTATTAATGCTGAATCTGTTTACACTGAAAGCATTTAGAATTGCACATATCAGAAAACAGCTTCAGTTTGTGTGCTGAGATTGTATAAGCTCATAATAAATACATTCCTCTAGCATTTTTTGTAGTTTGCAGCATATACCAATATCAGAAATGGTTTATAGTAGGAATTTAACAAATCTGTTTCTCTAACTTCTGCGGTTTTATTTTTGGCTACTGAGGAAAAAAAAAAAAACACATTTATTTTCCAGTCAGATGATCAGCCACTGACTTCAGAGACCAGTCTCCTAGGGGCCCAAGACATCGCTGAGTGAAGCTAGCTGAACTGTCAGTGGAGTTTGGGTTGGAATCACATCTCCTTTTTTTTTGAACACTTGTGTTGAACTAGAGGGTTCACTGGTGTGGAGGGGTTTGCATCACACTAATTTGTAGCCTGATCCTAACATGTGTCATCTTGACTAGATCAGTTATGGGTAATTATGCTGGCAGATCAGGAGTGGTGGCAGCCAAGAGATGCTGAGGAGGTGAGGCCTGGCTTGATGCAGTGTTTTCTCCAGATAAGTGAATCTAGCATAGCATGCTTGTAAGCAGTGATGTCACTACGTGGGCTCCATTGTAATCCAGTACATATTTGGTCTGATACACAATGTCTTCTCTATCTCTTTCACAGATAATGCTCAAAGTACATTTTAATATATGATAATTAAAGCCTTTCCTGCTTTTTATTCCCTGTTGCCATGGGACTGTATGGAATGCCAAACATTGATTACACTAAGGAATAGATTTAGGAATCTTTAGAATTCTTTGCAACATGCCTGCCTGAATTAGGATAAGGGAAGTTGTCTTGGTTTCCACAGAGTAATTAGCACTTATTGCATATGTGGGAATTCTGCATGATGGTTTACATGTATGTTGATACATTTTACTAAAGCAGCTACAGAAGCTATAAACTCTGAATGATTGTTACTAACAAACTGAAGATTGAAGGAATTAAAAATAGTACTATTTGCGTATATATATTTTCTGTAGTTGCTTAATTTCATATGCATTTTTGTCACAGAAGTCCCTTTCAGCATCAGTAATGCTTTCTGTGTGATAAATATGCACCTTTTAACTGGAAGCTTTGTTATCTTGTACTGAGATTGTTTGAGTTTTGTTTTGGTTCTTTTTTTTTTTTTTTTTTTTTTTTTTTTTTTTTTTTTTTTTTTTTTTTTTTTTTTTTTTTTTTTTTTTTTTTTTTTTTTTTTTTTTTTTTTTTTTTTTTTTTTTTTTTTTTTTTTTTTTTTTTTTTTTTTTTTTTTTTTTTTTTTTTTTTTTTTTTTTTTTTTTTAGTGTGTGTACAAACATGATATGAAATTTTTAATGATGCTTCCCAGACTTCCCCAGAGCACATTTGGAGACTGAAATTAGCAGCACACAGCACATCTGCCCAAGGTTGCCCACCCTCATCACAGGAATAGCAGCTGGTTCTTCCCATCCCTGAACTCCTGGTGCTCTGGCTGACCAGGGAGTGGTGCCCAGATGCAGCCCCACACGTGCTGGGGTAGAGAGGGATAGGAGGTCAGCAGTAGTGGTGGGGATGGTGATATCAGAGATGATGCACTGGTGGTGAAGGGTGTTGATGTCAGAGCGGGTTGCGATCTCCCTCTCCTATGGTGTGGGGAAGGAGCTGTGCTGCTCAGCCAGCCATCCCTTCTCACTGCCATGCAGGCAATGTATAGAGACAACACCCTCACCCCTCATGGCCACTCTTCTCTGTTGTGGAGAAACCAGACCACCTCTGGAAATGTTAATATTTCTCTGGTTTATAAAACCAAGGAAAAAAAGAGAAAGTGGATTACAGAAAGAGAAGCCCTAGTAATTACAGTGGATGACAAATGAAAAAAAAGAAGGGGGCTGAAGGACAAAAATGTGCAAACCAACAAAATAAAAGGATCTAGGGGGGCCATAGGGCAGGACACCCGCAACAACACTCAGCACACCTTGAAAGTGCCCACAGGGCTGGTGTGTAATGGCCAGGGATGCACTTCCTAAAGATGTGATCGGACAAGGAATTAAAAATGGGCTCCCTGATGAGCTTGTTTCTCCAGGGTCCATGGACTCCATCCAGTTTTGACCAGATGTAAAGGATGTTGCTGAAAAAGTCCCAGGACTTGGTGTAGTCTTTGATAAGGAAGATAAAAATAAAGAGGTGAGAAATGTTGCCAGAGGGACTGCAGCATTGCACACATGAAGAAAATGTGTGCCAATATCTCCTCATTGCAAAAAAGGGCAGAAGCTACAGATGAACCTGATTTGGGCCATCCCATGAACTTGTTCACTGCTCTAAGGAGTGTCTTCCAATTTATGTCCACGGTGGACCATGCAGTGAGCTCAGGATGCAAACTGGGCCCATGAGGCTCCTCACCATCTTCTCAGAGCAAGACGTCTTACTGCTTTGTTCCTGGGAAGGAGTTTAGGTAGGGCAAGGATATGTTCCTGGTAAGGAATCCAGGTAGGGTTTTCAGAGCTAGAGGTCTGAATGACACATAAACCTTGGTGTGGAGAGGTGACTGGAAAAGCTCAGGAGGTAGTGATTTAAGAATGAGTTACAATGTGTTACTTTGGCCATTACTGCATTATTGTGTGGTACCCACAAAATGCCAAGACACTAGAGTGAACAGACTTTGAAGGAATAAATGTCAGCCTCTTCAAACACCTCTAGATTTGTCCTGCATAGTCTTTCCTTTTCTCCTTGGCTGTCGTTTACACCTCATTTTTTTATGTAATCTGTAAAAATAGGATTCAATTTAATTTTGCTACTTCTCCTACATTGAATTTATTTTCTAATGAAGGATTTAAATGTGTTAGCTCAAATGCAGTCCTGCTATGCTCTAATGGAGACAGTAAAGCTGAATCACCCTACTGCAGTTAAAACAGCATCTTCTTTGCTTTCTTTCTAAAAAGTGTGACATAAGGACACCTTTGATGAGAAATAATTGATTAACCAGGTAAAAGTTTGAAAATTTAAATTCATACTTAAATAACTAAATACAGTGCCTGACTGAGATGTTTAAAATATATTCCATAGATTTGCATAGCTAAACTATTTAATCTTTCGTTTGTTTGTTTTATTTCTTTATTTGCTTTAAATGTGTAAGATTGCAATCTGTATTTTTAAAACTGTAAAAAGGCTCAAAAATGGTTTTTACAAGTTTACTTGACAGCTGATAAAAGAATCCATTTTGGCTCAGTTTGCATGTCTATTGTCTCCCATTTTTGGGGCACTACGGAAGTGTTTTGAAGACACTGAGAAGTGTGAAAACCTGCACTAATAACTCCTTTAGTTTTTTCCATTAGTAATAGCACCTTAATAAAAATTTCTTTTTACTCTTTTCAGAATTTACTTACAGTTTCTTCTTTTGTTATGGAAGATGCTGATTCAGGCTCAAATACA